CGTTTGAACTTTACCGGACAATGGGACAGTCTGAACGTGGTGTGTGACGTGTTCATGAGGGCTAACCGGTTGTATTACCAGCTTGTAATGGCTAGTTCTCAATTTACTGCTTGTATTTATAACGTGTATGCTTCACGCATTGTTGTAATTTTGATGAGCGTGTAGTTTAGTTTGTCTTATAATTGTATGCCGTTTTACGGATTGTGACATGTATTAATATAACTAGTAATATTTCCCTTAGCATCACCCCATTGTGTATAGAACTCACTACCAGCTTAATAAAGCGTATTAATTCTGAACCGCACACTGGCGTGATTTCTGCTTGTTATTTTATTGCATGTGCTGCCTGCTAGAAAAAATCTGACACCCCCCTCATTGCAAATTTAATGTTCCAGCATAAGGAAAGTGCTGCATTATTCACAAATTCCAAGGAATCGCCCGATACAAGTTGCAATGCTCTTGAAGTAAAACTATAATAAATCCCGCCACTCCTGCAGGATAGATATATGCTATAAGGGTTCAAGTCTACGTCACTGTGTCAAGCAGTTTTGTAAAAATGTCCAAATCCTGTTTTTTCTTCTAAAGTGCAAACAATGTCGTGTTTTCTTCAACACAAATTGGTATATAATTACTTTTGACTTAATGACAATTTTAATGTGAATCGTGAATGTGAGTCTTCCACAGTATTCAATAATAACACAACACAATAATTATCAACTCAACTCTTCATTAGTAGATGATAAAAATAATAAAATGAAATAATCTACCCTGATAAACGAGGATGAGAGAGCTTGTTTGAGCGACATATTATCGGTGAATGTACTCTCGTGGTGTCGAATGAGATAAAACATAGAATTCTATCTAAATTGAAATTGCATACAACATCTGTTATGACTAAATCTCTTTGTAAATGATATTCTCGTTCTTAATATTCCCCTTTCCATTGACTAATCCAGCATGTATGATATGACACATTTTTTTCTAATTGAATCTGCCTATGTACATTGGTGTTCGATGTAACTCCCTTGTTCCCCAGTTTACCATTTTAAATTTTCTCATAAATGAACAAACTTTTTTATTTAGAATTTGTGATAATATTGCATATTGGCGTAAACTAATTTACTTACACTCGGTCTTACTCTCAATAAAAACCTAGCGATGTCTGAAAACGTACTTATTCATAAAACCTACAATGTGCAATAACTCTAAGCGCTTTTGAGTTTTTTCTGATTGATTGATTGACTGACTGATTGATTGATTGATTGATTGAGTGATTGACATAATCGACATAAATCATTTACATGTTCCAAATTGCTCTCATTGGAAAATCATTTTTAACATTGAGGCTCATAATATCGATTTGATTTTACTGTTTTTAAACAAAGTAACAAATAACATCCATACATTTAGCACACTCATTCATCTTGAATGGCAATATTACCTTATTTCGTTCTTCTCGATCACGTCGTTCACTGATGCTTTACGTTCCAATGTTGCAGTTTGTATGCACCTCATAGAGACTACATCGGCTTTCAGTCGCTTTCGTGTATATTCAAGTTGTTTCAAGGTTGTCTGATTTCCTTGATAATCATCTTGCGTGAACACATCATATTGTTTATATAGACATTTTTTTCTTTCGGATAAGAGAATGTACATATACACTGCAGTATCTATAGTTACTAACTTGCTCTATAATATTGGTATCAACTGAACAGATATGCAATTGAGCAAACAAAATAGTCTTTCATAAAATTGATTCTAAGAATTTGATGCAAAACTCGTATTGTCACTGTACAGTTTGACACTCCATTCATAGTGTTCATTGTTGTGATTATGCGTAATTCGAATAATGTGCCCCATTGTTCTGGCCGTTGGTTTATTCATATGCAGAATATTAACCAGCATTGTCGTATTATTAACTGTAACATATTTTGTGAACCGCTATTGTAAATCAGACCTTGCGCATTGGCTATGACCGTGCTGCTTTATCTAGACGCAACGTCTGGAATTAACGAAGAGGCGCAGTTGACACCACAGTATATACGACATTAGCCCATCTTATCTGCAAAAACATTTTATAATAAAATAAATCATTTACACTCATGTAGCACTAGGGGAGGTGATTCAAAGTGTCCACAAGGGAGAAATTTTTCTATAACGGAATTACTACAGAATGGAATAAATTACCACAAATAGTTGAACGTATTAGTGATAAACTGTGTTATTAACAAATAGTGAAGCAACAACTAAAACAAACTATGCTAGGTAATGTTCGAGTTTATATTTGATGTGCGTCGGGAAAGCTTATCTCTATTTGTACATATGAATTCCATTTTTAATTGATCGTGTGTATATTAATGTTTTAGATTTATATTGTATTTGTGTAATGTTGTGAAGTTTGGTGTTTCCGGTAGGTGTTTGTAGGCTATCTTAGGCATGGACTTCGATGTGGATATCTCGATGGGAGCTTAATGTTCGTGTATTGTTTTGTTTGTTTTTGTCATTGTTTTGAACCAAACAAACTAAACTAAAAACACATTATCGTGCAATAATTACTGTATTATCGCGGCAAATGATCCACCTTCACAGTCCGGGCCGAAGCTAACAAAAAACACTATTGTGATGTGCTTCTGTTAAAGACTAATCTGTGTTTGTTTGTTTTTCAAAAGTTAAGCAACAAATTGTCGTTTCTATGCAAATCAGAACAATTTTTTAAAAAAATCGTGAAGCTTTCAATGCATAGAAAACCCGATCAAATTGACATTCTATTTATGGAATGTCGTGGTAGACGAGCGGATAGTGTACCTAATTGCTGGGCAAGGCGAATTGGTTCGAGATCGTCTAAAATTACACATAAGTTTTTCGACCAGAAAATACTCAAATTAATAACCCGTACATGTTACTGCTGATGGAATCATACTAATATTCTCCAGTTCAGTTATATTTTAATTTCGTGTTTTTATTTCTTACAGATGGACATATACAACACGACTGTAGCATGGTATACAACCAACAATACCGTTGCCGTGACGACAGCAAGCGGTTACGATGATGACTGGAAATTGTTAGACCCAGCTTTCTTCCACGAGCAATCATGGGTTCGATTCGTGTATGGTTTCATTTCAATAATGGGTGCCATTGGCAACGCTGCTGTCATGGTTACCATCCTTAAATCGCGATTTCTGCGAACAAACACGTACTACTTTATCCTAAGTCTAGCCTTTGCAGATTTCATGTGCTGCGTGATTTCTTTAGCCATAAAGGTATTCCCTATCGTTCATGTGCCACCGGGGTTCGCAGGGGAACTACTCTGTCGTATTATCATCTCAGAGTTCTTACTGTGGACGAGTGTTGTTTGCTCGGGTTTCCACCTAGGCGCCGTGACCATCGAAAGGTACCTCGCTATTGTAAAGCCATTTATTTATGTCAATTATACGAAGAAGACGGCAGTGATTTGTATCATTTGTTTATGGTCACTCACTTTGATATGTGAACCGTATCTAATCTACATATACACCTATGAGAATGGTCACTGCACGACCATTCACACCGAGAGAGCTAGAAGATACACGCAAATCAGTGCTATCATGATCTTTTTCCTCTCCTACGTGACACCGATCGTCATCATGATTATAGGGTACGGTTCTATTTTTCACACATTAAAAATAGAAGAGAGGGCTATGTTAGCAACATCTGGTCCGCAGAAGGAGCTGGAAAGGGAGAAATTAACTGCTCGCAAGAACGTCATCAAGATGCTTATGATTGTAGTGACCACGTATTTCATGTGCCTGACACCGAATCAAATCGTTTGGTTTGGATTCAATGTCGGCCTGACTGTAGATTTCAACAGTGCTTATTACAATATCACTGTCATGGCAACCTTTGCCAATTCGTGTATGAATCCCATAATTTACACTATACGAAATAAAAGATTTCGTAATGATTTGAAAGCGCTGATCTGCCGCAAAACAAATCAAATTGATAACTCATCGTTTACCTAATTAAACGGATTATCTGAATGTCGTGATATGTTTTTTTGATATTTTTCTCTATTCACACAAAATGTTAAATTTAAGTAGTAATGAAAGACTAAAGAACGGTTACCTCGAGTAATCATAATAATGCTTCACTATTCTATTAACACGTTTTCAGAGATAACTTGTACATGCAGTCAGTATTCTTACAGTAACAATGTGCTTTGTCGTGATCGTGATTTCAAATCCCGTGTTATGTGTTTATATTTCTGTAATTTGTATTACACCATAAACACATTACTTAAACCTAACACATACAAAAACACTTGATAACAATGCGATAAAGACTTTCAAATTTCGATAATGTGAATTTGTTTCGTATTTATGCAGAAAAATACAGTGTTTTATATAAAATCATATTTATTAACATTTGAATTTAGTAAACTAGGATTTCAATGTATCAAATAATTAGCAAAGTAAAATCACGTAGCAGTTATGATAAATCAGATCGCTTTTGATTGGCTGTTGTAAGCTCATTTGCATATATTATGGAGACTGGTTCAGACCAGTATTTACATGTGACATTGTGAGATATAACATAGACACTCTGAGAGCAAGGACATTACATAAAAGTGCAATCAAACAATGTATTTACATGCCAGGCCCATAATGGGCAAGACGTACCGCGATAAATGTGGCGGTTTTATGCATACATTTGCCGTTTGAACTTACTACCATGTAGCTACATGTCATTCAAATGTCGGTATGTTATTAAAAGTTTACTTGGCATTGTGTATAGCTTATGATTTGTTTTTAACCACCTGCCACCAAGTGTTGGGCTGATTTTGGTGTTTGATATATATACAGATCAAAGTCACTCACGAATTAGATGTTGTACCCTTAAATGCACAATATTCATATTGTACATATCATGTTATATATAGTTTCCCTATACTTTTCTTCGTTGTAATAATCTACGGTTGTGTATGTTAATTCAACTCCTGTATACTCAGAAAGCTGTATTTGCATCATATTGAAATGTACTTTTATATATCTGAAACACATTGGGTATATTTGTATATAGACATTTGTTGTTCAATCATCTGCAAGTCGGACTATTATAATTGTCAAGAGGTCGATGCAATATAGAGAAATTTTTCAACGCCATAGGCGCAAGCCATCAATCAAACGTGGCGAACTTAAAAAATCGTGATTACTGACCATGTATAGTCGCAAATGCCTATTGACTGTATCGAACATTCAACAAAATAATGAACCTAACGTTATACTAACTGTAGCCCAAGGTTATATTCGTTATCCATGGGTATATTCCCGAAGAAACATCAAATTATGGGCTGGATTGTACTCTGCCATACAATGCATTGTGATTTGTAATGACATGTTGGCTTCCTTTTCTTTGCGTCCAATTACCCGGTGTGTGTCAACAAGACATTCAAAATTTCTGGCTTCTTTAATCAGACGTGCGGTCGCATCGATAAGTGTGTATATATTTCGTCGGTTCGCAGTAATTTAGAGCACTGCTCACACAAGTGTGGTCTCCATTCCAGAAGTACCTAAGTAAAATTTATACTACAAATTAAATCCAATATATCTTACAATTCTACTGATTATGTTTGCATGTGCATTTTCTTCAATTTGTCACCGCTTGAAGATCAGAAATGTGTGTGTGAGGGGTGTACTTGGATTGCTTTATGTTGCGAGGACAAAAATACAGATATATACCAACTTCCGAAGACATACACACCTTCCGAGGACCTTTTTCATAGTCCTCGGAAAACTTAATTTATTTTAATAGTTAATTTGATTATTATTACGTTTTGCGTTGCTTAAGTTAAGTATCGGGTGGGAGGTATGGTTCAGTTTATATTAATATTAATATAATTGTACCATGCCTTTCCCCGATACTAAACCTGAGCTTCGCAAACATTTCTATGTTCAGTCACAGGATTTTCAACTCTTGTTTAATTAAACTTAATTAAAATGCAATTCTACATTGTAATTGAATTGAATTAAACTCCAATTAAAACGCAACCATATATAGGAACGCGTTTTAGTCGAGTTTACATCGCAACTATATTAAAAGTTAATTCAACTATATTAAAATTTAATCCAATGAAGTCCTCGGAACATATAGCAATACAAGTATGTGTGTGTTTTCTGCACAAGTTTCCTAATTCTACATATCGTTACACCTTCATTGTGTAAGAAACTTCCTTTCGATTTCCTGTATATTTACAAGGTCACATGATTATTTTAGATCTAGCATTTGTCGTATTACCTTTTGACTGTGTTCATGTTTACCAAGAACTTTTTAACAATCTTTTTAGTAAGTGGAACATTGTCGACATTTATAGATTTTTCTGCTATTTATCTTACTATTTGTAAACATAGGTTTGATATAATACGTGTTTTTTCTATATGTTGTATGTATTTATATGTATTTTTATTATTTTATTTTGTAGTCGTGATTTTTTTCCTGGTTCTGTAATTGGGGGTTTTGCCTGTTGGAAAATTTGAGAATAAATATGTAAAAAATCTCAAATGCCTGCATTCGAATGCGTATTTTTTTCATATTTATGCAGAAAAATACAATGTTTTAAGTAAAATCATATTTATTAACATTTGCATTTAGTAAACTAGGTTATCAAACAGTGGATTTCGATGTGTCAATAAATAGCAAAGTAAAATCAGATTGTGCTTTCATCGCTTTTGATTGGCTGTTGCAAGCATATATTGTATATATTGTGGAGACTGGTTCAAACCAGTATTTACATGCGATAGATATTAACATGTGACATTGTGAGATGTAACATAAACACTCTCAGAGCAAGGACATTACATATTAAACATATAAAGTGTAATCAAACAATGTATTTACATGCACTGTATACAACACGTGGGTCCCACATTGCCAGGCCCATAGAGAGCCGCGATAAATGTGGCGTTTTTATGCATACATTTGCCGTTTGAACTTACTGCCAAACATACTTAATTCATGTAGCTACTTGCATTCAAATGTCGGTATATTAAAAGTTTGCTTGGCATTGTATATAGTTCATGATTCCCTTTTAACCATCTGTCATACTTAGAAATCTGTATATGCAGCATATTGACATGTAATGTTATATATTTGAAATGTATATTGTACATGGCAATCCGTCCACGCATTAGTTATCATCTTTAGACACATTGGGTCTATTTGTATATAGACATTTGTTGTTCAATCATCCACAAGTCGGACAATTATAATTGAAATATAGAAATTGTTCAAAGGCGCAGGCCATCAATCAAACGTGGCGAACTTGAAAAATCGTGATTACTGACCATGTATAGTCGCAAATGCCTATTGACTGTATCGAACATTCAACAAAATACAAAATAATGAACCTAACGTTATACTAACTGTAGCCCAAGGTTATATTCGTTATCCATGGGTATATTCCCCGAAGAAACATCAAATTATGGGCTGGATTGTACTCTGCCATACAATGCATTGTGATTTGTAATGACATGTTGGCTTCCTTTTCTTTGCGTCCAATTACCCGGTGTGTGTCAACAAGACATTCAAAATTTCTGGCTTCTTTAATCAGACGTGCGGTCACATATATTTCGTCGATTTGCAGTAATTTAGAACACTGCTCACACAGGTGTGGTCTCCGTCCCAGAAGTACCTAAGTAAAATTTATACTACAAATTAAACCCAATTTATCTTACGATTCTACTGATTATGTTTGCATGTGCAATTTCTTCAATTTGCCACCGCTTGAAGATCAGAAATGTGTGTGGGGGGGTACTTAGATTGCTCTATGTTGCGAGAACAAAAATACGGATATATATCCCAATTTCCGAGAACAAATACACCTTCCGAGGACTTTTTTCATAGCCCTCGGAAAACATAATTTATATTAATAGTTCAGTTTATATTAACCAATTAATACCAAAATGGCAACAGTAACAAAAAGACTTCCCTGGCGGCGATGATAAAATACGAACACGGAGCCAACAGATGAGGTTTCAACTGGTACTAGTATTATTATACTCTGCAAACATCAAGTACAATAACGCGGTAAAACTCCACTACTCCAATAACTAGATACTTAAACTCCAATACAATTCAACGAGATCTCCGATCTGATCTCAGTGCTGAACATCTCCCTTATATAAACCCACACTGTCTATAAATAGACCATTACATCAGCATACATAATGAGTCTGGAACTTACTACAAAGTTCTAGAATGTTCCATTACCATCTATTGCCTTCTACAGTGTCCTATTACCTATTCAACCAACTTCTAAAAATTCCACCCAGACACAGTACGGTTCTAGAACATTCTCAGTCACACGGAAGTGGTAAACAAGTCATATGCGACATGCCTCCCTCTCAAGAATATTATAACATATAATATTACATGACTAGCAACGACGTCAATGATACAAATACGATAACAATTTC